TCACAGAGGGTGGGGTGCAGACCGAGTGGGCAGAGTTTATGAATGAGTTTGTCGGGGACGACCATGTTGAAAGCGGAGCTGCAGTCGACAAAGAGCATCCTTATGTAGGAGTCCTTGTTTTCTAGGTGAGAGAGGGAGTAGTGGAGGGCAGCAGCTGTGGCGTCTGAGGTGGACCTGTTGGGCCTGTAGGCATACTGCTGGGGATCCAGAGTGTCCGGTATGCTGCTCTGGATACAGGAACAATGAGATGTGGTCGGAGTGTCTGAAGTGGGGGCGGGGAGCTGCCCTGTATGCACCTCGTATGTTGCTGTACACGTGATCCAGGATGTTCTGAGGATGTCGATGTGTTGGTAATATTTGGGAAATACAGTCCGTAAATTACACTGGTTGAAGTCTCCAGCGGTGATAAGGACGGCATCAGGGTGAGTCGTCTGTAGCGCGCTGATGACATCATGGAGTTTGCATCTGATTCAATATGGAACTGTCAATCAGGGGGACACTTCCTTAAAAAGTCCAGTTGGGACAGAGTCTAAAAGACAAGTTGTCGGTTTACATGATGAAACTAATGAATCAGTTCAGAAGGTCAACAGAAGAGAAGTGGTTCAAACATAAATCTGGTTCTATGGTTCCAGGACCAGACAATGAATCTGTGCTCTTCATGGGGAGGAGGTGGTGGATCTGATCCCTGACGGTTATAATTTGATTTGTGAAGAAGCTCATGAAGTCATTGCTTCTCAGAGTTAGAGCAATAGATGGGTCAGTGAGTAACAACACACTTCAGGACTCACTGACCAATCACCTGACAGGACTGATGCCATCTCTCCCTCAGTGCAGGGCGGGAGCTCGGACCAGGCGGCCGGTCGTCAGAAGAAGCCTCGTAAAGCTCGCACGGCATTCAGCGACCAGCAGCTGTCGAGGCTGGAGAGAAGCTTCCAGAAGCAGAAGTACCTGAGCGTCCAGGAGAGGATGGAGCTTGCTGCATCTCTGCAGCTCAGCGACACACAGGTGAAGACCTGGTACCAGAACAGAAGGTAACGTCCACCAGACACACAACAAACACACAACTACACAATGATATGACTGTCCCGGTCTCTTTGTGTTTCTGTTTTTCATGTCTATAAAATACAACACATTTTAGTATCAGGTTTCGTAACTCATATTGAAATGTTTGTTTTGATGATCAGAAAGATCAACAGCTCAGTGTGTTTCTGTTTTACTGATCAGGATCAGTAAGTACAACAGAAACAAATCTGGAGCTTTTAGTGCCGAGGCCACGTTATCTGTCCCATGTTCATCAGTACGATGATCACCACGTCATAATGGATCTTATGTTCTTACTGATAAATTCTACATTAAAACGTTGCAGATAAAAAAAGATAACAATTGAAAATGTTCCTTATTTTCTTCAGGACCAAGTGGAAGCGACAGTCAGCTGCTGGTCTGGAGCTGCTGGCTGAAGCCGGCAGGATGTTCCTGCCCACACACTACCTGTACCCTCCTGCCCCGCCCACACTGGACCTATACCTGTACCGAGGCCACACCCTGCATCAGCACACAGCCGCCGCCCTGTTGCACAACCACAAATCACACCCACACTGACGGCATCGCACTCTAACACCTGGGAGGACTGAGAGAACTTGGAGGACTAGGACTAGGAGGAGGTTCAGGTTCCCACTGAACAACACAGGGGTCCAGAGCAGCAGCAGCTGGTTAATGATAAAACTGTGATTAACAGAATGAAGCTGAATCTCTGGTTCAGGAAGCATCAGTTCATTGGTCGGACGGATGTGACATCACAAACTCTCTGGAACAAGCTGCACAAGGTCGTCATCGTCTTCTAACAGATTTATTACTGAATTCACTTCAACTTCCTACGTCACTTTCATAAACACATTGTTTTCTTTTTGATATTTGATTATTTTAGAATGTTTTTACCTCTGCCCCAAAGGTTTGAGTCGTTTCTTCATGTTTGTGTTTTAAGGTGCTTTTTAAATATTGTTATAAAAACAGGACATTGAAGGTGACGGAGCTGAACAACGTGTGTGAATAATAACGTCAGGTGCACTTTAATGTTTTTATAAAAACTTTCCTCTCAAAACCTTTGGAATCAATATTTGTTTTTACATTTTCAATAAAAATCTATTGAAATGTTTTGGTCTGTTTGACTCTTGATGTTAAATCGTCTCTGAAGCTTTTATTGACTCTTCGAACTAAAGTGTAGTTTGATGCTGGACTGGTTCAGATCATCGACTGTAAATCAAGACGACGCCTCGTCTCCACTTCCTCCGTAAATGAATCTAAAATATATTTGTTGTGATGACATCATTTTCAGTCAGAGTCTGTGCTGTAGTGACTGCAGAATCGAGGTCCCGCCCCTTACACCTGCTCGACCAATCCTGAGTCAGTGTCAGCTGTCACTCATGACGTCTCCGCCTGTTTTTACATCATCAAATAACAGATTAAACCAAACTGATGAGAAACACTTGAACAAACATCAGAGAGAAGAACTGAAACGACAGAAACATCTTTAAACATTTATTTAATGTCTACTTTGAGTTTTAATCAGTTAATGAGGAGACATTTGTTCATGTCCCATCTGCTAACATGGAGGTTTATGATCTATACTGCAGTCAGACACCAGGGGGCGATAGAGATGCTTTGGCTTTACTTTTTGAAGTGACTTTGTGTGTGTAATACTGCGTTAATGTTGTTGTGTGTCTGACCTCAGCAGTGACACACTCTTTGTTACACACTAAAAACAAACGCTCGTCTCTCGTCTTCAGTGCGAACTCTGACTTCCTGCTGACAACTGAACGCTCAGGTCACATGAGCACTCGCCTCCGGTTGATGTAATGAACGTTGTCACGTGATGAGGAGTCCGCTGTGAAGGTTAGCACCTTGCTCATGGGCACTCCAGCACCTCCTCCTCTTCTGATTGACCAATCGTCTTCTTCTTCTTCTTCTTCTTCTTCGCGTCTCGTTCGTCCAACCCGCTGGAGAACTCGGAGTGGAGCAGACGGACGTCCCTCTGACCGAGACCGAACCTGACGGGACAAACAGTTATTGTCCGTAAAGTTTAGGGTTAATCTGTAATGTGCCTTTAACATGACGCTGATACCGCCTTCTTCTCATTGGTTAGAACATGTCACATGATCGAAGGGATACAGGTTTAATAAAAACTATAATAAGAGGAACATTTTTAAATGCTGAACAAAGACTTTGTTGATGGTTCTGACGGAACACAGAACAACTAGAAGTGTGAACAGCCTCTGGTTCAACTCCCTGTTTCTCCAGCACGAGCCAATGAGCTCGCAGCAAATTCACAAACAGGAAGTTTTAATCAGAACATTTATAAACCGAGGATCACCTGAACAACCCCGACACACAACTGATGAGCACCCAAAGGATTATGGGAGGTGAAGCCAAAGAGTAACACACCTGTAATGAGTGTGTGTGTGTGTGTG